TAGCTAGATTAGATGGATAGATAGATAAGATAGATAGATAGATCTTTTAACTTTCCTAAGAAATCAATCCTTCCAGCCCCAGGATAATTTTGTTGCTCATTCAGGGCTTGATCCATTATCTTCAATGGGCTTTGGATCAGTCCTTTAAGGGACACAGCAAAAAAGAATAATAATTCTACTAAAAAGAGAGTGAAAGAGAGAACTATCCTGCTCTTTGGTTGTTTATTGGAAATTAAGTTGTGGTCTTATTCCAGTTCCTAACTGACAAGTGTCTAAATCATAATGCTACTGTTACTGGCATGCTTGTTGACAATCTGAGCAGAAAGACCCAGGATTGAATTAGCATGGCAACTGAAATATTCTATCACACAAATTCAGGGATTAAGGAATATTGGGGTTTTAGTGTAGGGAAGCTTGAACTGATGCGGGCTATGCTGTATCTGTCCCTTGAACAATTAGAGGACTTGTGTGTCCAAATCTGTCAGTCTGGCACTTCTCATTCGCACTAACGTTTCTTAAGTTCATTCATGAGGGTTAATTGTCCTTTCCTTGATGAAACACCTCAAAATTCTATGTTAATGTAATGAAATGAGTAGCGCATACAACCAGTCTGACACATAAAAATGGTGTTGGAAATGGAAAGGTGTGGACCAGCTGTAGCCATGTATGTAGAGGAAATGAGGACACGATATTTTCAGACAATCCAAAACAAATACATGGGTCACTCATCGCAAATGGCAGTTACACCCCTCCCTTTCAAACTAGGATTCAAATCAGTCCATTCAGCAAAATGGCCAATAGAGAATCAACAAAGTTGGAATAATAGAGGATGCTTTGCAGAAATGAGATTTGGACAGTAAATCAATACTTCATAACATTTATTGTCCATTCTAACTTGGTGGCATTTTATATTTCCAGATTAACCAACAAGAAATGCTTGTTTGACTGTAGGTTATCATAGTCACCGCAGAATTCTGTAACAAACTTCAGTGCAATCTCATCCCTGCACCATTATACAGTATATATGTATAAATAGCAGAAACTTAGCTTGTAATTGCCATTTAAACTATAAGACAATGAAAGCTTGAAAGAAACAGAGAGCCTCCATTTTAGCATGAGACGCTATGGGAGAGTGAAAAACTGGGAGCTGCCTCCCCACATATAGATATCTTTTAACATTGTTTTTTTTATCCAGGCTGGGGTGGGTATGCAGGGAGCACTTAGCCTCCCCGGGAACTTCCCCCTCAGCGTACTGGTAGATCCAGTGCTGTATAACTGAGAATCTGCAGAAGCAACTGTATGTTGGGGAGCTCATTTGAGTTCTCTTTCCTCCCTCTCCTTTGATTTGCTTTGCATCAGCACTCCAGAGAGCTAAATATGTTTGTTTGGGCCTATGAATAAATCAGCTGATCATGAGGGCAGGGTTTATCGCTTACACAAGCCAAAAGGCAGTGGAATTGTTTAATTAATTTATTTAATTGTGATGGATTGGATCAATAGATATTAAGAGAAGATATTACAAGCCCATTGTATTGTTCCCCCAGCCCATACATAATGAACAACCATAGACTTTCAATCAAATGACTTACTTTCAGTTAAGGGAAAACAACAAGAAGGAACAAAAGTAAAAGTTCTACGAGTGAGCATCATGTACATGTCTCCTCTATAAGGGGCTACAGCAATTCTAAGAACAAAAATGACTGATGTCTCTGCCACCAGCAGATTTCTTAGAAATTCAAAAGTGTCAAAACAGCTTCATGTGCACACCTTGCTCTAAAGGCCTGCCTCCTTACAGTCCCTGTCCTGCTCATGAAAGGTGCCAGATTGACAGTCATGGAAAATTAAATTCAGAGGATTGTGTACTATACAACGCAGGCAGCTACGCTGCAAGCTTCCCCCATGTGCAATGCTTCCACATACTGCTCCCCTAGTGTGCTTGAACCATGTCCTGGAGACAAAATCTTTGAGTGAGAGAGATGCCTGTGACCCTAAAAGCTCCTCAAGGCCCATTGGCAAAGGGTTGACTGTTCTGTAACAGCAACTCCTATCTGACCTGACAAACTCACTGCTCACCCAACATACTGTTTTCATGGTATTTATCTATAAAGAATGCCTTGTGAGGTATCAAATGAAAGCTCAGATGACACTAGTCATCAGAAGCATTGCAAGATATACGCACGGTCTAGGTGTACGGAATTTTGTGTACCTACCAAAAATACATGTGTAAGCAGGCAGCTGACAAACAGTTTTTTTCTTCCAGATAGTAGATAAGATGTATCTCTCTCTGTCACAAGTAAATTAAGCCAACACAATGGACGCCCTGTTTGCATGTGAAGTCAATAGGTAAAATGGGTTGATGGGGATGTAAGACCAACAGGAGGGAGCACACTGGACATCAAGCATTTGGGAGAAGAATCTTATTTGGGGGTGCATTTCAAAAGTTTACTGGACTATAAGAGGAAGGAAAAAAGCCCCTTTCGTATTCCATTTACTGAGGAAACCTCTTGTAGGGTGGGGGAAATATTCATGAAAACTTGGATTCTGGTTATGACTGAAAACCAGCGGGTCTGACAAAGACTGAATGATTGGAAGGACTCCACTCTATTAAATAGAAAAGGTAACCATTGATAAGTGAAGACCTAGGATTGCATTTTATGGTTTTGTTTTATTTGTAACCTGTTGTTCTTACTATCTTTACTCACTAGCTCTTAAAACCTTTGTTAATAAAGGTGTATTTATTTTCGCTATAGATAGATTACAGTGCTGTGTTGTTATAAAGAATCTGATCCTGAGTTATTCTAGTTATTCTAGTCAAGCTGTGCGTACTCTGTACCTTCAGGGAGAGCCTACCTGGTTATTCATATGAGTGTCCAGTGACAGGAGTTGGATACAACAGAGGGGCAACAGAGAGACACTAGCAGAGGATCTTGGGAATTGGTTTCTGTCTGTCAGTAGCCTGCACAAGAGAGAGTGAGATCTGCAGAGACCTGGAAGTTAGTGTGTGTTGGTGGCCAGAGGCTGTTGGTTTTCATGGATAGACAAGACTGCTTCATGCCAGGGGCATGCACAAGTGGGGGAGGGGCAAAGCAGCAGCATGGGACCCCCTCCAATAATTGGGGAGGGGACACAGAACTCCGCTGGCCCTAGGGCTGCGGCAGGGAGAGCAAGATCTTCTGGCTTTAGAGCCACAGCGGGGTCACAGAACATGTCAAATTTAAATTCCTGTGCACGCCCCTGCTCCATGCTAAGGGTAGATAGTAGCAAGGTACCTCACAACTCTGAGTAACCCTGGGGAGCATCACAGTACCAACATGCTCAGTGCTGAAACTGCTAAAAAGGACATCAGATGTAGTATGGACAAGAGGAACTGGACTGAGATGGTCAAACACCACTAGATGGTCAAACAGCCCCCCTGATGGTAGCAACTTTTGGTCACTACTCACTATCCACCTGGACTGGATTTAAACCAGTTCCTAGAGATGACAAGCTCCATATCCCATTAGCAGTCCCTCTTCCCATCTAGCACCCACCATAGTCTATGATGTCTTGTATAAGTGGATAGTTTCTAGTAGTGGCATTCTAGCTCGTAAAATGCAAAGCAGAAGAAAATCACTTCACTCAAAAAAATAATAATAAAAATTCTGCCATTAAGGAGTTTACATAGTAAATACACACTATTTATCTTATCAAAGTAGACACCCCATCTTACATATTGCAAAGTCATGCAGACATATATCAGTGAGTAGGGAGAGAGGTAAATCATACACAAAAATCAAAGCATCCACATGTCCCATTCCATAGATCTTCCTATCACTTGCTGTTATTTAACACTATGACATGATTACAGTCCTGCTAAACTGGTTTGAGTATTCATCTGATAAAATTTATGGACATTAGTTTTGAAATCTGGAGACTCCCTGGCTGCTTTAATTGCCATGTCCTGTTTTATATTTGTGCCTCAGCAACAAGATGAACTGCTGCCTCAGTCTGAATAATTGTTGGAAGAGTGGTGGCAGTTCACATCTGGGTCGGGTACAAGGAGATAACATTATGACGCAGAACCGAAGACAGTCTCATCTGCATATAAATAGACCTAATCAGAAATGCAAATTGCAATCAGAAGAAATTTTAAAAGCCCGTGATAATTGTGCGATTGTTCAGATAAGAAAAGGTCAAACACTTTTATTGTCAAAGCTTTTAAACTGCTATCAGCCAGTGGCGATTCTTTCTTTACAAACGCAATGTGGAAAAGGCAACCATATGCCACTTTGCAGTCAACCTTGGACAAATTCTTGAGAGATTTTTCCTATTATGACCGTGACCCTCTTGTTAAACCCTATTTCGCACTGTCAATAAAATCCTGACTTGTCCTGTTAGAAACCCCAATCAGGTGATGATAAAGCAAAACAAAAACAGATGATGTGAAATGAAATATTTAGGTGATATTAATAAATATGGAGAGAGCTTCCATTTTCTTTTTATATGCATACTGCACATCTTATCATCCAAGGGTAAATTAAAAAAAGAAACGATGGACACAATTTAGTGCAACTGACAGATTGCTACAGAACATTCTCAAAATTACATGTATTTCTTCCATAATCAGACAAGTCTAAGATTCCAGAGGAATGCCATTTAAAAACATTATGCTACATTTCAGATACTAGTTTCTGCCTATGTTGAAACAAATGCTTTTATCAACTACAGCTAAGAAAATTACATTTGCAGTCTATTGTTGAAGGTATATAAAATCAAAACCCAAGAGAAGAATAAAGTAAATATAGAATTCTATTATTTCAACGAGCCCTTACTATTAATTATTTCTAAAGTCAGATTGAATAGGAATCCTCATAATGATGACAACTCTTTTTTTATCTATTTTCCAGTGATGGTTTCTTACAATTCGAGGAGAAATTGTTTACCAAATATTTATTTTACTTCTCACTAGACTCCCTGTGAACAACAAACTAGTGAGTCAAGAGAGCCATCTAGTGCCATACCTTGGAATCTTAAAAAGCGTTTTCACAGGATGCATGTCAAATAAAGGTGGGTCTCCATCACCCAATTCAATAGCTGTGATCCCAAGGGACCATACGTCACACCGAGCATCATATGAGTAGTCAAACTGTTGTTCACAAGCAATGACCTATCAGATAAAAGCAGGAAAAACAATGTATTAACCTTCTCATAAATTCACGCTGTGCTAGCATGACATTAATGTACTTTTGATTACCAAAAATCACATGCAATCCTATTTCTGCAGCTTTGCCTGCATTTCCCAGATGGAAATAGTCCTATAGAATTATAACCCTCTCCTTGTTTGTTTGTTTTTATTTAAAAAAATATTCCCACAAAATTTAATAGAGAATTATACCCCTGCTATAGAACTGTACAGGATGCTTCAAACAACTCCACAAAAAAATTCTCTATTAAATTCTATATATTTTAATTTGTACTGAAACCTATTGCAATTCTATTTCATACCTATTAATTTCTACAGCTATTTGTAAGGTGAAAAGGTGATTTGCATGATAAGAATATTCCATCGTTCACTCCCATCAGTCAATTTCTTGCAACTATACGTAGTTTGCCCCCTCTGGATTTGAGTAAATAGAAAAAGCTGAATCAATATATCATAGGCCTGATCTAAAGCCCATTGAAGTTAATGGAAGAGGGGGCTTTGGACCAGAACCTGTATGCATGCTGCCAGTGAAAGTCAGTGTCTACATTCATATTATCACAAGTTTCACAACTAGATATGAGCTCAAAACAAACCGCTAAATGTGAATGTCCACAAACCTTGCTGGGGAGGTCAAAAACCAAATCCAGGTTAAAATTTGATCCTTATCTCTATAAATGCATGAAACAAAACCTCAGACCCCAAAACTCCTTGCACTTACTGTGGTTTGGAATCGTGAGCCAAATTTTCCAGCTCAAACTCCTCAAACACCACCACCAAGTGCTCTGAAAACTTTTTACACTCTGCTGTGTCATTAATAGGTATGTGCACGGTTTTCTGAATGGGGTTAAATTAAATTGCAAATTTGTACTCACTATAAACAGAATTGCTGACAGCACAAATTATTTTCTTATAAAAGAAGTAAAGAGCATTGAATATACAAGATAAGAAAATCTAGCAGAGGCAGTAGAAGTTATGGTTAGAAAAAAAGCATCTCCTATGACAGCAATAATTTATTTTTAATCAGGTCTTTCCACTTGGTCGATCTAGTTTATTTGTTTGTCTAGAGCAAATTGATTCAGAAAAATTAGACCCCGCCCCACCTGAACTTTCTCGCAAAGCTAGAACCAAATGTTCAGATAACTCTCCTCCCTAATTTTTTTCACTTTAGTATGTCAGAGAAATTCCTGCTTCTATTCTGTTCTGTTTGGTTTCGTATATCACCCTCATCAGGGGGATGTCTGAGTGTTCTCCAGTAGTGCATTAAAGATTATCATCATCGTCATGTGAGGTTGTTTTTTTGCCTCTTATCCTCACTCAAGAGGTAAAATTAGAGTAAAAAGTTTGTGGGGGTTCATTCCATAATCTTGGACTGACCCCCAGGAAAGGTCCATCTCCTAAACAGACAAGCTTTACTCTTGACACTGGACAGTTCCATTGTATCTGAGGAGTGGAGTTGTCAATCACTGTCCACATCTCAGAACTTTAGATCAGGGGTTCTCAAACTGGGGGTGGGGACTCCTCAGGGGGTCATGAGGTTATTACATGGGGGGTCGCGAGCTGTCAGCCTCCACCCCAAACCCACTTTGCCTCCAGCATTTATAATGGTGTTAAATATATTTTAAAAGTGTTTTTAATTTATAAGCGGGGGGTCGCACTCAGAGGTGAAAGGGGGTCACCAGTGCAAAAGTTTGAGAACCACTGCTTTAGATGATCATGAAGGTATCATCCTAGGCCCAAGCAATTGAGTGCCTTGAAAATATGGACAAAGACCTTGAATTTGGCACGGTATTCTAGGGGACGCCAGTGTAAAGACCAGTTTGATGTGCTCACAGTAGCCCATGTTGCTAAAAAGATATGTTGTCATGTTCTGTACTAGTTACAGTTTCCAGGTGACTGCATGCCCAGGTATGTTGCAGTGCTGTAGGACTGGAAGCACCAAAATACCCCACAGGCAGAACAGGAATCAAGACATGCAGTAATTGTCTGTGTGGTCACTGTGGGCCAGAAGAGGTAGACATTTGCTGGGCTGCCTAGGCTGGCAGGACTCATGGAGTTAGCCATGCTAGCCACAGGGAAATAAAAGTAGAAGTCTAGTGATAAAACCTCTTCATGACATGTCCTGCTCCAGAGGTCTGGATAACTTTTATTTTTACAGTACCACATGAGACTTCGCACATATAGGATGATACTTTCCCTGCCAAGAGGAGTTTATAATTTAAGGGTATAATTCTACACCCATTGAAACCAATGCCAGCTTTGCCATTAACTTCGTCAGGCCCTAAACTAGACAACATATGGACACACAAGACGGGGAAAGAGAAAGTAACACACAGGATTATGCAGTGGAGAAGTTTGGCACGTGTACTTCTAATTTGGGGACAGGACGACAGACGCATTCGTGTGTACATTTATAAGAACTGAAACATCAAACCCTTTTGAGATTTGCCTAGGACTATTTAGAACTGAAGTTATTTTTGTCTTGGCTTCAGTAGATATAGAACACGTAGAAAAGCATCACTGCAAGCATATAATATACTGCTGAATGATTATGACTGGAGCTCTGCTAGCTGGAGACAAGCACTGTATAATTAGCACTACTGACCCACCAGCTGAAAGTAGTCTTGAGGTTAAAGGGCTGAAGCTTCTTGGGAAAGGTGCTACTGTACTCAGTTGACAGCACGAGCTAAGCAGCTTATGAGGTATGTGAGCACAATGCTGAAAGCAGAGCAGAGTGTATAAAAAATGAAGCTGGTACAAAATTGTTACCCTTGCTCCAAGGAGAGCAAAACTGCTAACCATGCAAGTCCAACAAATAAAATAAACCAGCTGAATGTCTTTCCACATGACACTATGCAGCCTATTTAATTTAATCTGATCGCACCTTAGGGGTAAAAAATATTTTTGTAGGCCTTGTATACACTAGCGACATTTCCTAAAAATCTCCCTCTGGTTCAGTTCCACTGGTGTTTAGCAACACTGGAAGAGCTGGTGTAGGCACACCAAGGTGAGTGTCTCTCTCTCTCTCTCTCACACACACACACATCCACACAAGCCAGAGTAAACACGAGACCTAAATTGGTTCTTTATTCCCATTTCTTTATTCATGACTTCCAGATCTTATTCAAAGATGACATTTTTTTAAAATGTTTATCAATGAAAGATAAATTGTAATTGATTTTTTTAAGTTAATTGAATTTCAGAACAATTTATATTAGTAGTCAATTATTGATTAGGACACACAGCCTCCCTAACCCCTATCCTGTCAGTGCAGGGTTCATACACCGCAACACACACAGTTTTCACGGGGAATTAGGCTCGGGGGCTCAGGGGTAATGGAATCTTCTTCACACTGCAGAGAAGCTTACCAAGCCCTCCATATCTGTCATTCCAGCTGGATTGGAATAGCATCTAGAACCACTGCACCTTACAAAGGCAATTGTGGCAACTGGCTCTACAGACCTATGGGGTGTTCCTTCAGCTTCCCTCAAAGCCCTGCTTCATGCTGCCTATCTAGGAAGTCAGCACTCCTGCAGGCAAAGGGTGACATGATGCAAATGCCCCCACTCTGCACAGTAGATTTGGTGTTGTCCCACTGCTTTTCTGACCTTCTCGGATACTGTGCTGATAGATCAGTTTTTTCTTTAAGGACTTATCTGTAGCTTTCTGAATTCCATTGTATTGCTTCAATGCTGTTAGCAGCTCCAGCATAACTTTTTCATTCCTATTGCAGTTCATTGTAGCTTTAGTTTGACCTTCATCAAAACTTAAAAAAGAAAAAAAATAACCAAAAAAGAAGCTAAATTTTCTCTAGTTTGTTTAAATTCTTTATCCACTTCCCAAAAACATCTGTGTTCCCAATGACACGTCACTTTACTGAAATCATGTGAGTCAGCTCCCATAAGGTAGTGACTCAGAGGAAGTCACAAGCAGTTAGCCCATACATAGCTAATTAAATTGACATTGTTTTTCTCCTTCACTTTCTTGAAATGTCAAAAATATTTATCTGCTTGGCTACAAAGCTGCTACAATCTATCCCCGGATCGTGTTTGTCTAGATATTTGCATGGTCCTCATCACAGCATTGTGTGAGTTCTTCACAAATATTATGAAATTTGTCCTCAATACCCTGTGAGGCAGATGTAGCAGTTCCCCCATTTTGCAGTCAGGGAAGTGAAGTGAAGTATGGAGAGATTTAGTCTCAGGATCAGCTAAAGGTCACAGAGGTTAACTTTGGCAGAGCCAGGGAAGTAAATCCAGATCTCCTGAGTCCAAGTCCAGTGACTTAAAACACAAAGCCATCCTTTCCCCACATAAGCATGGCATGTTGCCATTGATTCTAATTCTAAAATCTATTGTCCGCAGTTTGACAGCAAAATTCACTCTTCATCTAAACTTTCTTAGAAAGTTTATTTACAAGCTATGCCAAAATAATTAAATGAGTGTCACAGGGAATTGCATTCATGATGGATGGTGTAGTGAAGGGATATCAGCACTGTTTCCAGAACAATGTCATTGAGCTTCTGTAGGCTTCACAAACAGTTTAAGGCCTACAATAGTTCAACAAAGAGGAGACAACATATGAAGCATCTTTTGATACTCTCCTCTCTACAGCAGCTGACAGCTTATGACTTCAGTAAATACAGTACATCCAAGTAAAACTACATTACATTAAAAATCCCGGCATCCCAGGTGAGAAGCACTTAAAAAAAATCAAATTCTATGTCCATCTATTGTGAGTTCTCTTTGTTTCCAAATAAATTTAATCTGCAATGAAACATGCATCCAAGTGCATTTCAGGCAGTTTTCCATCACTCACCTCTAGCAAAAGAAGCTGCTCAGAAAACACATTCCATTGGTTGCCACCTTGCTATTGAGTATGTAGAATGTATATGGATTGCATTATCACAGACTCTGAGTGATTACTGAACTGAAGTTTGCCATTTATCTTGGGATTTGTTAGGATTT